TTGTTGCCCGTGGAAACGCTTGGTTGCCATATAGGCTACAATTTAGCAGAGCTCAAGACATATGGCCTTCGTTCAGTTGCAACACGGGGGGATCGATTCCGATCTCAGCGTGTGTTATTAAGTCAGTGTTCATGTCATGTTTAGCTTTAGTTATTCATCCCAATAATTGCGTTGAGGAATTAAATTTGACATGCAGAAAAGAATTCAAATGTCAGTCAGCTTCTCCTGACCACCCTGTTACCTTTACAGTTGGCAGCAGCATACTGCACATGCACAGGTGCGGCAGTGTTATGAAAAGGAGGACACACAGGAACTTTGGTGTATTGTGGCAGTCAATCTGGTTCCCTCACTGGGACACTGGGACACTGTTTCATTCAGCGTGACATTCTCTAATCCAAATCATGTTTTATGCATGCCCTCCCGTTGGGCACTGAGGGATGACATACTGGGATTTTTGTTGATACAAGAACTGTGAATGTGTGTGTGCATGTGCTTCGGTCCCCCACCTGCCGATTTCTTCGACATGTTACGTCGTGTAATGTTGTGCTGCAAGGTTGAGTACAAAAACATCCACAGTTCTACCAGATCTGATACAACGTAATTGATCCCTGAAATGTGACTAAATAATAATAAATTCAAAAATCTCTCTCCCTCTTACGCAGAGATTTACAACTCCCCTTAAAATAAAGATGGCACTGTTTATGCCTCACAGAAACCTTCATAGGCTGGTTTTGTTGTTCAGAGCCACCCACCATAACTCTCCAATAGATTTACTTTTGTAATTTGCATGGGTGCATCTTTCTAGGTCTTCATCTATAAATGACGATGTTGCATCTTCTATAGAGACCACGAGACTCCTGCAAACCCGTAGAACCCCTCAGTAAGCTGTTTCTGTCAGAAAGTGCTTTTTGTATATATTTCTTTATTTTTCTTTAATCATTCATACGTGTAGATCAGCTTTTCCTATTCTGTGTTGCGTTTAGTTAAGTTATTCCAACATTATCAAGCGGTGTGGTAGCTCGGCACTCTATGAATAGAACAATCAAATGTTTACTGAGAACAGCTTGGATTACTCAAGTAGATGTCAGAATGAATATCCAATTCACTCCTGAATATCAGCTTTTTTAAATGTACTACTAAAATACGTTTTTTCTTACAGGCCTTTATGTGTAGATGTTACTCATCGTTACATTACTCTTTCAAAACCCTGTATTTTGGTGCACATCAAGTAGCACTTGTTCGTATTTCATCGTTCATGTTCCAGAATAATAAACCTTTTCTTTGTTTGCTTACTTCATGTCAAATCAACATTACTAAACCGAAAGCTCCATTTTAAGGCCTGCGTACGTCATACTGTTATTAGGACACATTCCAAGATTTTCTCCATATGCAGCTTTCTGTTGCCTCAATCCGGAGAACACAGACAGTTTATCATTTGCAACTTCCATCACTAAGCCAATGCCTGGTGGTCATTGGGGCGACTGTGGGTGAGTGGGGAGCGCGGTCGTCCTCCAATCAGAGGGTTGTCGGTTCGATTCCAGGCTCTGCTTACCTGCATGTCGATGTGTCCTTGGGAAAGACACTTAACCCAACTGTAGCTCTGACTACAGTGTGTGGATGTTAGTGACTGATGGCAGGTGTCACTGTGTGGTTCTCCTGTCATCAGTGTATGAACGGGTGTGAATGGGTGAATGATGTCATGTAGTGTTAAAGCGCTTTGAGTGGTTGGAACACTAGAGACCACTTACCATTGTTGCTGTCGTTGCCACGTTGGGAAATGTCTCCTGAAGTATTTGACAGGTTATTATGTGAGTAGGATTAATTCTTCCGGCACTGTGCCACAGATGGATATATTTCCCACTATCCTGGTCAAATGTCCATATGTTTAAATGATGCGTCATAACGTTAATTTTATTATGAACTCGGACAAGAGTGATGAAATATCACTGGTATTTACCGCCTCATTTGCTCTGACTTGTGTATTGCATTATATGTGATATCTTTGAGGTTATAAATGTCAAGTGTGACATTTATAACCTCGGGCTTGAGGATGAGGAGCAACCATGCAACACCATAGGCCCCTCCCAATGGAAAGTAGAGCCCCTTTGAGGGGACGCACGCACCACATCCTTGCTGGGGATGAAATCTAGCGGATGATTTACAAACGTTTTGTTTTTGCATGTGGGGAACTCTCTAGCAGTGGCTCCCGTGTAACAACGTGGCTAGTGGTTGATTCATCCGTTGTCACATGTCCTGCATGCGTGATCAGGCTGTTACATCATTGGTACTGTGTGCTCTGCAGCTGTGTTTTTTAAGACATGCAGACACAAGCCAGAGATCCATTTTCGCATCAGCGTGTGCTCTCTGTGCCAGTAGCATTATAATTACTGATACCGCTTGTCCTCTGTCACCAACAATAAAAAGCCTCTGGGGGAAACTCAAAGTACAACTTCTGCACTGGAAAAATCAAATTTGTTGAGAGGATCTTATCATTTGCTGTTTAATGCTTTAATGGCTGTAAGGCCGGATGAGGGGAGAAGAAGAAAGCACTCCGTTACATTCGAGAATATAGTTTGGTTTTCACCAGATGAAATGAAAGTCAGCTTTCATTTCTAAATCCCTCATGGCCAGACTTCAAAGACCCCCCTTTAGCATGAAATATTAAGCAGGGTTCCGTGCTTACACCTGTTCCTCTGGGGAGTAGCTTCTTGCATTTACTTCCACTTTCATCACAGCAGCTGCTGTGTAGACATACAATTAACCACATTATTGACTTCGGTTTGTAATTGCGTATATCTGTATGTAAACATTCTCTCCTTTGGCCCATTTCATTTGACGCAGAGCGCTCGGGGAACCATCCTCACTGAGACAAGATGTCCACCTGATTACTGTGGTGATCGCGACGAGGAGGAGTGATGAAGCTGGTTGTTCATCTTCTTCAGCGAATTTCCGTTCCGTTAGTTGTTTATCACAAGAATTGGACTAAATGACAAAACCCCAAATGAAACACGCGACAGTTTGTTGGTTTTGTCTTTCAGTTCGACCTTTCTTGTGTGGTGGAATTGTGGTTGTTTGATTTGAAGAAGAAACGGCAGCAGAGCTGTGCAGGAGGGACAGCTGGCCTCACTGCCTACTTCAGTCAAACACAAACTTTTGTCCACATGGTTCTCAGTAATTCAAAAGGATATAATATCCTTTTGACTGAACGTAATAACAGGTCTTTATTACATAAACACCCGAAATTGAACAAAGAAATGTCTCTAATATTGGCAATCTTGTTAGATAACATGAGCCACTTGTCTCCCTAGTACTTTATTCAAACATGATCGGGTGGAATTAGACACGGAGGAAGAGACACGCGATCTGTTTGCATATTTAGCTGATTGATTTTACTGTCAATCCTGTCAACATTTGCTCTCTGTTTGAATGAAAGAAAACACTGTTGTGAATTGACAGTTTTGAAAGGCCATTCCACTGGAGAATACAATCAATGGTTCACTGTGTTTTGCAGTTGCCTTTGATGCTGTAAGGAGAATGAAATCAAATGTGTGTGTGAGTGTTTGTGGTTGTGTCATATTCTTTCCATTTTTTTGATGATGGATTCAATGGTGCTGCGTGAAAGGTTCAAAGCTTGGGATATTTTTTAATAACCTAACCCTGCTTCATACTTCGCTACAACTTTATCCAAGGAGCTATTTGATGAGCGCTTGATGCTCTTTGTTCAATAATGCTCTCTAACAAACTCAGGTTAAATAGGTTAATTCATACTGAGATTAAAAGACGTGTGGACCCTATATATATATATATATATAGAGAGAGAGAGAGAGACTATATATACACACCGGTTTTTCTCAATGTGCCCAGTAAAGGGATGATTCTTGATTGGACTTATTAGTGATTCATGAAATGGTAAATAACCTTTTTTTAACGCAATGCTGAATGCCATATTACAGCTGTACCATGTGACACACTGTCTCCTTTTTTGATGAGCACATGATGTGAGTTATAACCTTGGGAGGAAGAACTACATACTGGGCGAATGCTACACACATCTAGTGTGTTCTTGGTGCGCTGAACCTCCCAAATCTGTGTGAATGTTGGTGCAACGAACGCACGGACGACGAAATGCAGCAAACAAAAGATTTAGCTTGAAGCTGTTTTGCAAGTAGTCAGCAGAATGGAACACGCTCTGATCCGTGGCCACGAGCTCTACATTTTCTCCCCCAAAGCAGGAGTGGTTCAGATGATTCTGAACCCTTTCCCTAAAACCAGCCAACGCACGCTTGAAGGGCCGACATTTGGTGAGGGAGTCACACATGAATCGACTCATTATAAAGAATTTCTGTTACGAGGAAGCCGCTGGCTTCAACTGCCTATAGACGGACTCCTGAATAACCCCGGGGACACACTGAGCGATGTGTGCATGTGAGGTGACAGTGGAGGGCTGCAGACGGAGGGCGGAAGCAGATGTGTGTGAGAGAGGTTGGGAGCTGTGGCACCATCACAGGGTGCCTTTGTCTGGCTGCAGAGTGTTGAATTAAAGGCTGTTAACACTAGTCTGCACAGTTACATGCTAATGCCTCTTACTCTGAAAGAATAAATAAATAGATAATGGTCTAGAAAACACATCCGAATCCCTGCTTTACATGCCTCACGCAAAAACACACAGTGGGGAAAGTGTGTGTGTGTGTGTGTCTTCACAAAGAGGTGTGCAGTGTTGATGTTCCTTCTGCGCTGCGCAGAAATAGCGTGGAAGGAACATCAAGGAGGGCAGAAAAGAGCCGCCGTCTATACGCTTTGTACTGGATGCTGCTTTAGGTGATACACAAAGGATAAGGGGAGATAAATTGGGTGGACGGGTACAGACGAGATTTGGACAGAGAGGAAAGAAGAGGGGGGAGAGATTTAAAGGGCAAGAAACGGAGGGAGATTTAGACAGAGCCTACAGAGCTGGAGCGAGGGAATAGACGAGAGGGGAGGAGAGGAGAGAGGAGGGGAGGGGAGGAGAGAGGAGGCATTGAATGGAAGCGTACACATGGTAGAGAGGAAAACGGCTATTTTCACGTGCTCGGCGTGCACGACTGAGGAGCGCGTCTCTCTCTCTCTCTGTCTGTCTCTCTGTCTCCGTCTCTGTCCCTCTGTCTGGCTCGTTAGTCATCTGCTGCTGCACGGATAGAGGGCATAGGAGGAAGAAGCGCAGGCAGGGCCGGGGAGCTTTGGGCTGCGCGCAGAAGATGAACAGGCGACGCGGGCTCTCCGCCTGTGATCGCCGGCCTCTGATCTCGTAGGCGGCGGCAGTCAGAGTGATCGAAGAAGAATGAGCTCCAAGCACTCCTCGGACTGGATTCCCTACAGGTAGTGAACCACCACCACCAGAGAGAGAGAGAGAGCGGGCACAGTGGTCCTCTTTAGAAGCGGTGTGTGCATGTCTGCGTGTCGTGGATGGTGTTCGGTCATGTGCTTCTAATGACAGTAACAGTCGATGGATGGAAACATAATGGGTGTATTATTCTTGGTTTTATTATTTGTTAGTATGAACAGGTTTAGTGGGAAAATTTTTCTTTTTGTATTGACATATTTAGACATATATCAATGATGATTCAAAGGGATTCCCATAAATTGAATTCTTAATTTTGTTTATTTTTCCTTACACAGTTTTATTGTGTATAAAACTGTCAGTCATTTCATTCAGGATTAGTTCTGTACTCGATTCAGAAAATTAGTTTTAATTGGAAAATATAAATCAGAATGCAATATATTATTTCATGTCTTTGAAAGAATCACAGAGGAAGTGCCTGCCTTTGTGTGTGAATGGTTTGGACTATATGATGCTGCAAGCAAAGTATTTTTTGTAAATTGCTAAAGTATGAGGACTTTCAGTATCTACCTGTAAAACCTGCTTTCTTCATTTCAAGTGCAGTACGAACACTGACGGCGCTTTCCTCTGATTGAATACCCATTGCCATGGTTTCCCTTCTTGCTTTGATTCCATTGGCTCCCTGTTGCTATAAGTTACTAGAGATGTAGCTGGAAAAGACTGTAAGGACACTGATATTTACGTATCATGTTTGATCTCATGTTTGTTATAAAACCATTTTACAAAGTCTTTTAACAAACAAGTATTAACCATTCATGACATCATTCTACATTTTGACCTTTTCGTCGCTTCAATTTCTGTTCAAGAAAAAATCTGCTGAAAGTTGATGTAAAAATAATATAAATGAACATAAATCACTCCAAAGTGGTCTTTCACAGTATGCCGTTCCAGCCTCAGCGGTAGAGGGATTGGTGGTTCCTCAATGAGCCGTTTTCCCTCATCAAGAGAAGCCGCCATGAAAAACTCTTACTTCTTCGAGGTCCCCAATCGCGGATATTCTGTGCGTGCATTCACCAAAATTCAAAGAATGAAGAAGAAATAGCTCACAAACACAGACTCTTCTCTGTGGGGAGCCAGATTAGCATTTCCAAAGTAGATGTGTGCAAAGCTTTAGTTCTCTCTTTTCTTCCTCTGACATGGGAGGGAGACACAGAGTGTCAGCAGAAGTCGTGAAATTGGTGTATTCTCAAAAAGGAATTTATAATTATGTCAATTAGTTTTTCAGAAGTTAATGATCCCTTTGCCTCCTGAATCTCATGTTCACTGTTGGCTGGCAGAGTTGATTAAAAAACTCAATTTGTGTCCAGAGTAAACAATGTAGTTAAAATGTAGTAATCTTCTTTTAAGATGAATCCAAGCATTTCAGGTAAAGCGCAACCTACAGTTGGAATCCTCTGTTTTAGTGGAACAAGAAGGCTTTGCACACTACTTAGTGAGAAATACAAGCTTTTGTTTGCTACGTGTTCCCTTGACGTGATGATGGACTAACAAAGCAACAGTTTGACTTAATCAATAATATTGTACTTTCCTTCCAAATACTTGATATTGTTGACCTTCTTGCACCTCAGGTGTCTCCTCGAATACATTGTAAAGCTGCCTGTGAACCTCAAGAGGCGCGTTGCACTGGTCACTTCAGAATAACAAGCTGTTTGACCTTCACAGGGATAGCTTTGTTTGAATCATTATATTCCTGTCTGATGCCTATTCACACACTCAATTACTCTGATTGCAGACATGGAGTGTTTTGTTTGTCTGCATGTCTGACAGAGAGTAGGAGGTAAATGCTTTTCCATTGCCTCTGTTGTAAAACTAGCATTGATATTGCAGGCAAACTGTATTCATTGACTGATCTGCAGGATTGACTCTGTCTCTGTAACATTCAGCCTTTTCACATTCATGAAGAGCATAGAATGCCCATGGAGGATGTTGACTGACCACCTGTTAGCTTCTGTTATCACACAAACAGATTTGCCGCAGTAGACCTCGTTCAAGCGGAGGGATAAGAAATTGCAAAGTGAAAAATTGAAAATGAAACACATTAACTCAAATACATCGCTGGAAAAAGATTGTGCTTTCAATTATATTGTGACTCTCTGCTCTGCACTTTCTAGTCATTATAATGGAGCCAATTTAATTGATTATAGAAATACATGCATATCAATGCTTTTTTAAAATCATTTGAATATCGTGCAATTGGACATGAAAAATGTCCAATTGTTAAAAGTAAAATATATCTTTTAAACATACACATACTTCTCAGAGGATAATGTAAAATAAAGGAGAGACTTGTGTATTTTGAGAGCACAGATATATTTATACATTGACAGGGTTAACACATTACAGGTCATTTAGCTGACGCTTTTATCCAAAGCAACTTACATTTCACTTTAAACCCATGGCTTTTTTTTTAGATTTTGCCCGGGGGGGCCGGGGAGCTTTTTTTTTTAGATTTTGCCCGGGGAACTGCACATGTAACTCATCAGCAGTGTAACGACATGTGCACATGTGAAATTACAGTCAAGAGTGCTGGAAAAACATAATTTCATCTGACTTTTACCTTTTCCTCTTTCTCCTGTGGCTCATTCTATCCAACTCTTCTGAAAGAACCTCTCATCTCCCTCTAACCGTTTAGATACAGGCCCACACAAGTTCTGTGAAAAAGAACTGGAAGCGCAGATTCACAATCACTCGTACCGGATGAATGACCTCTGATTTTGGTAATGAGTGGTTAAAGTACTGCACTTTTATAGAGATTATTGGAAAGCGGAGCAGTACAACTCAGGTAGGTTTTGACTCGTGAGCTTCACCAACCGCTACTGTTGTACAAAAGCAATAATATAATAAAAGGTCTCATGTGGAGACGGAGTGCTGCAGCTGGCACAGTTAACAATGTAACAGAGAAAGACTGGCTTCTGTCAAGTTCTAACTAGTTTGTGGGGGACATATTGTCACAAGTGCTTTGGATGTCTTTTTGCTTTTCCCAAAGTAGTCATTTCAATGAGATGAATTTCACTTCACTTTCTTGCCATGCATTAACAGATGGATGAACAAATCCCCAATGGGTCATATGTGAAGGTCATCGGGAATTAAAAGCTGTTCAATCAGAGCACATTGGAAGAGGAACAATACAGTCGAATAGCTATGCCAATGCCAAATTGTCAAAATGTCAAAATTCTGCATCTGCTTTTTGATTTTTAAATGTAATTGTTGGATAGAAATGGAAATACTGGATCAATAAGAAAAAGAAAAAGAAGTAGGAAATAATCACTATTCTGTCCTTTAGCATGGAAGGACAGCATCCTCTCTGGATGTCAAGAAATGACGGCGGCCATGTCACATAACCATTGGTCCATTGGTCTATTAAACAATGCTGATTCTGGTATTTCATTAATCATTAGATTACTGCATCGTAAATTGAATGCTTCTCAAATGTAAGACTTGCTCAAAACTCTTTCATGTCAATGTAAATTACGATTGTGTGACTGTTGGTCATTCCTTTATATTAATGTTTGTTTGTTAATAGATTATCATTTAAAAAAGACAGCACTGAAAAAAGCCTCAACTTTCACATTGCCAAAATGTTTTTTCAGTGACAGTGCCCACAAATAAAGCCCATATTCTCCCTGATGGGTCCCCTTCCACTAAAGCATTCTGTGGAGAGAGAAACAATTGGCAAATTGCTCAAATGTCCTTTAACAGTATTGCTAGTGCCACGCCGACCTTTAGGCATGTGGGCCCTGGCATTATGAAGTGCACCACCAAATGGAATAATGGTCCTGTAGATAAAGACTGTACCCGGTTGCTATAGAACGCAGTGTTCGGGGAAGCAGAGAATTATGTTGCGGTTTGAAACCAGGACTCTGCTTCACATTGTGCAGTCTTTTGTGTATTTGTGCTGCTGGGACGTGATGGTCCTCTCACAATGAATCCTCTGCAATTTCCTTTTGTCCCAGCTTTCCCTTTGCCTCATATTAAAGCCGCTGCAGAGGACACAAGAATGCTTTTGAGAGATATAAAAAATGTAAATGAATAGTAGCATCTGTCACATTTACCACATTTTTATGCAGCACCACCTGGGTGACCTGCCGAAAGGCACTTTTACTCCGACGGAGGGGTTGATCGCTGTAGCTAAATATGTCCATTGACCTAGTTTGAGGTGTACCGATGTATCGGCTCAATTAAAGCATCTCTTATCAATCAAGTCCTCTCTCCTGGAAGTGAAGTGTGCAAATGAAGGACATCCGCTGTTCATTTAGCTCCAGATCCAGATGTGCCATGCACAATCTGTACATCATACAACGTCTGAGCCATGGATTTAAAAAAAAACAAAACATGGACAGTGCTGTTTGCTGCATGACCTGATCTCTGTTGAGCAGATCTTCTTCCACTCCCAGTTGCTTTTTAGAAGCATTATTGTCAGTTCAACAACATTTCAGCTGCAAGCTGTGCAAGTGAAAAGTAACCACGAGAGCGTGTAATGGTCTATTTTACATTAGATAATCCGTCTGCTGCTGCGAGGAAAAGCATCTGAAAATTGTATTTTCAGGGAAATTCAGCGGTGAGTTAGTTTAGTAAAGGGAATAGCTCAGCAAAGAAAACTAAGGATCTCTGAAACCGGTCCGTTCTCACTAATTATCTATGCCAGCTCCGTAGGTTTTTTTCTGGACAGTATGACATCACCGTTAGCGTCGTGTTCAAGTGATGCCTCAGATTCTGTTGCTGTTGCACTCACCCAGAGGACGCTTACTGGCTGCTTTGCGGGAACCCTCCAGGCTCTTATTATTTGGAGGGGGGGGGGTTAGAGGGCTCTATCTATCAAAGCACAAAGGCTCTCATTAAACTGCTTCGGTGCCTCTTTGATGAGTTATCATGAAGAGAAAAAACCCTTTTTCCAAAATTCCTTTGCTCTGTTGTTGTAAAAAATGGAATGCATTAAAATAAGTAGTCCTACATTTATTTTACATTTGTAGTAAATGGCGATAAAACCCCCTTTTGTACAATAAATATGTGCACGTATATTTGTTTGGTTTATCAGGGAACAACGAGCCAATGGATGTAGCCATGAGGGTTATTGAGGGTTTCTTGCTGCATAGACATTTTTCCTGAAGTTTCACTAGCATTTATAGTATTTTAAAATCAATCAAGCTAATATATGGTGAGATCCTGCTTTTTTTTCAAACTTATGCTGCACTATTAGTCGCATTGAATGAACTGAAGCGGTTTGGAAAATGTTTTTGTTATAACTGTATAAACTGCTCAGGAGCAAAATGTTAACATTCCCCTCCTCTCTTTATCTCTCTTTTCGTTGAAGCACTTTAGACGATGAGGGCACCAACCTGCGACAACAGAAACTGGACAGACAGGTGAGTGTTTGCAGTAAATATAGTGTAAAAAACATCAAGCATAGCAGTAGTCATGTACATACAATGTATATGTTCATCGTCTATATGTACAACATAGGTTTACTATGAAGGCTCCAATTTCAGAAATGGTCTTTTTAGCATTTGCAAAATTTTGGGTTTGTTAGTTTAAAGCCATGAATCTACTTCCTAATTCTACTCTTCACTCAATGGATTTTTGTTGGAGTCATAAAAGGTTTTAAGCGCCACGTGATGTAAAAATAAAACTTATTTCTCATGTTTGTCAGTAACCTCTGGGTCAGAGGGAGAAAGGTTGCTAGTTTCTGTCCATTACAGGCCTGCGCTTTACCCCCACATCAAATTCATGCACTCTGTAAATGTGCCTTTCAAGGTCTTGAGCGTTACAGGAAAGACTGTTGCACTCTAATGCTGCACAACCTGAATTCTCACTAATAGAAACCTTCAATATTTGATGAGCTCTGGTTTGAAGACTTGCATATAGCTGACAGTCAGTCCAGATGAGTGGCTGCATCCAGCCTCGGCTCAAAGCGGGTCGGGCAGCTCATTCGTAAACACCTCCTGCGTTGTTGCAACGGGCTTTTAAACCCAACACTCTGCCTACAGTGTGAAAACTAAGTCGTGCCTCATACGTCATTATCACAAATGAATTAACTTCAAATATACAAAAGTATTTTGTACTTTATACTGTATTATGTTTCAACACTTCAGGGCTCAATAAAGCTTTGCCACTCTAAGTTGTTGACAGGTTTTTTACCGATTATATGTGAGTCAATTTCAAACAATTAGCAGATAAGTTAACTTACTGAGGCCATTTTGTTTAGAAATGTATCATAAGCTGTAAAGCACGTAGAAAGACCTACTAGTTTTGGTGCTTACTTTAGTGACCTCGGTGCTACTTTAATCCTTCTTGTAATGAGGACGTTGGCGCGATCATTTTTCTTTCTATCTGGACACATTTGTGTGTGTGCGTGTGTGCGTGCGTACGTGAACCCCTTCACAACAGCGAGCGCTCCTTGAACAGAAGCAGAAGAAGAAAAGGCAGGAGCCTCTGATGGTCCAGTCTAACGTAGACGGGAGATGTCGCACCCGTCGGACCAAACAGAGCGAGGAACAGGCCCCTCTGGTGGAATCCTACCTCAGCAGCAACAGCAGCACCAACTACCACGGTGAGTAAAGACTGGCAGTCCCACTGCGACCCGGCCGCAGGGCCGAAGGGACACATCCAGCACGAAGATCCAACACGCCCGTTTGGTCTGTTTTGATGTACAGGTTTCATTTTTGGGCTGTAAGAGACTTTCTTCTTTTGTGGTTTTTGTTTCTTTTCCTCAAGAGAAACGTATGCTATAACAGTCAAACATCTAACAATAAAAGTAGTTGAAAAACTCACGATGTCCCGGTTTAGAACTTGAGCCTGTGTCGACACACTGCAGCATAGCGATGCACCATCAACTGCAGGCACACACACACACACACACACACTCCGCTGCAAATCCTACAGCAGTGGTTAGGACAGGGTTTGATGAGGTCTTCTTATCTACAGACAGAGAACTGAGCAGCTTGCTAATCCCCAGCTCTGAGGACCAGTGGTGGGCTCTAGGCCACAAACTGTCCCATTTCTTCCTGATAGGAAAGACAATGTGTTGGCAATATATTATTCTGCACTGTTCTGATATCCTGATGGAAAGAACGGGAATAAAGCCTTATAGTTTTTCTCACAGACAAACACATCTGCGCTGTGAAGCTCTGTAAGGCTCTGATGCAAGCTGTGAGTGCATGTCTGCACGCTGAATGAATATTGCAACAATACTAGTTTGGGATGTATATTTGGAGAAAATAAATGAACTCCATTTCAATTTTTTTCACTATGAAAGTTTTCTTCTTTTTTTTTTAGAAATACCATTTCCGTTTATATTTGTTTTTTTATTTTAATATTTAAAAATACAACCGTTGGCCTTTTACATTTTTAGCTTGACATTTATGTATTTATATTTTCAAATGTGTCAATTCATGCCTGAGACTGAACCATTGGTCAAGAATCAGGAATCACATTTATTGCCAAAATATGTTGGACATACAAGGAATTTGACTCGGCGGTTGGTGCACAACATCAGTCAGTAAGACAATGGACAACAAGACCGATAAGACAACAGCATGTTCAATTTACAAATTTACAATTTGACTCTACGGTATAAAATAAAATATAAGGCTATGGGCAAGGGGGATATAGAATAGACAATTTAAACATAAAGGATAAGAAGGAATGGAAAGGAAAAAGTTAAAAATAAAGTGCACAAGCTAACAGGTAACATACTCTACACACTGTGTTGTGAGTGTATGTGAAAGTGGCATGTGTATGTGCATGTGCAGTGTGAAGGTGGGATGTTGGAGTCAGTCAGTGGGGGACTCGGGCTCTGTTGATGAGGAGGAAGCTGTTTGCGTGGCGGGAGGTCTTGGTCCTGATGGACCTCGTCCTCCTGCCAGATGGAAGGGGCACAAACAGGTTTTGTCCGGGGTCAGAGGGGTCGGGGTCAGTATTCACTATACAAGCTTTTTAATTCCTTTTTTTGTCAGTGTAACTTTTAGGTTTTTTGTTTTTCTTCCCATCCGTCCATCTGCTCTACTAACCTTGCCCCTGCTGCTGGTCGTCTCCGTCCCTGTGTGCAGTGCAAGAAGCTGAACAGGAGGAGGAGAGGGTGATGCCTGACACGCAGCCGCCTCGCTCAGCCAAAAAGGGGAGAGGATCGGCCAGCTCCACTCCACAGACGGGCAGCGACAAGAAGGAGAGGAAGGGCAAGCACAAAGGTCAGCCTACCAGCAAGGCGCCCTGCCTGTTAGGGGTGGTCAGTGCAACTGCACAATAGATAGATGACAGATAATTAGACATGCTACAAGAAAAGGTTGAAACACAGCTGAATAAGAAAGGAGATGTTGAGAAAAGACTAAATCAGAACAGAAAAGCATGTTTTTATGTAAATAAAAGCCAAATCAGGATATTTTCAAGCATTTTGTTCTTCAAGTTTATGTATTTGTGTTTAAAAATGCAAACAGATTTGTTATTCAAAGCAGTCCGAAAAATGAAAGAGAAAGGTTCAAATATTTTTTGCTGAGCGGCTACAACTGTCTTTCCAAGCACTGCAATCCTCCCACACTGCTTTGCCTTGTGATTTTTCAAGTCACATCTGGAAACGTCCGCTGCCAGCCACACTTTGGTGCTGCGCTTATCAGAGCTCAGCTGTGTGTGATGGTGTATGTGCCACATACAGTATTCATATGGAAAAAAAGGTTTAGTCCAACTGCGTCCACAGTGCGTCTTTGAATACATATGTGGCTCACGCATCCTTGACTTGGTGACATTTGACTTGTCTTGACATTTTTTTTGTAATCTGATACGGCACAATACTATAGATGATAACCTTTTGGATGACTGTGTCCCAGAAACAAACTGAAACAAAGTGAATGAGATCCCACAGGGGTAAAAGATTAATCAGGTCAGTCACGGCAAACTCGCGGCAAACTGATGGACTCACTCTCCGTCTCATCCTCGGATTTTCTCAAGTGCAGGAACTCCGTCTAAAGAGAACAGAATAGAAGAATACAGATTGATGAATTCACTCAGGTAGAATAAATGAAAATGCTCCATAAATATGATATCCATATCTGATGTCCATTCTCAATGCAGAATTGACTAAATTAAATACGAGAAAAAATATTTATTAGACTTTATTAGACGCTTTTTCCAAATGCACACAACAAAACCGCACAAATTCTTGGATTTCCAAAAAAACATAACCTCAAAAAATGAGCTGTGCAGCTTATTTGCATTATTGTTCTTTCGCTCTCGTAGACAGGTTGGTTGTTCACAGAATGCCCGTAGCAACAAGAACATTGTGTCTTTACCTCCTAAACATTATAAGCCAATCTAAAGGTAATTGACAACAACTACTTAAACACAGAACAGCCACACATTCAGTCATCAAGCCTTGTGGGATTGTGACTCTACAGCGATGGATGGTCCGTCCTCCCAGCAGGACGATAGTCCGATCCAGATCCTGACGGTGGGTCGTACCAGCGCCGAGGAGAGCGAGGCGGAGCCGGTCATGAGCTGCACGCAGTCGCAGAGCAAGCAGGATCTGCGTGTCACCATGCTAAAGAAAGGTACCGGCAGGGTGCGGGGGGAGGTTCTGTCACTGCATCTGTAACAGTAACAACCTCGAGTCCACATTTACACCCACGGCGGTGTTCCACTGCCGCGGTGTCTTGGTGGGAAGGTGGAACATAGTGAATCGTGTGAGAACTGCAAATGAATGCTGTTTAAGAAACAGTGTGTCAATGATATAACTTGAGAAACTGTGATTTTGATTCTTTAAAATACTGTCACTGAAAACACTGATTTCAAATCCCCTAATGTATTATTGCTTGTACATTTTGGGACATACTAATTGTACATTTTTGCGTCTTCACTAATCGGTACATTATGTAACAGTGATTTCTATTTCTAACAAACAAAACCCAAGGGTGGCATGGTAAAGATCTAAGCAAAAAGTAGTGTTCATGCTCTTGACCGAGTCAACGTTTTTTTTTTTTAGGTCTTGACCTGAAGAATGATTTTGACCACGTTAAAAGTGTTGCAGTTACAATATCTTACAATAATGCTGTTTGCTCTTTCAATTGGTTCTTAATCCATTATTCTATGTAGATTTGGTTTCTTGTCGAGTATATGCAACTTTACATCACATGAGTAGTTTGTTCATTCCCATGTTTTAAAAGAGGTTCAAATAGAGCCTCGTGGGACATGAATAATTCTCGTTTACCTTCATCCTACAACTACTTGTACATTGTATGTTGTATCACCTACTTTTACCATGATGCACTATGCATTAAAATGTCAGATACGACATGAAATACATTCCCTGGTAAGAGATTATGCAAGTACTTACCATACTATAGATGACAACATTATAAAAATGACATCAACTCAAATAATATAATCCTTTAATGGAAACTCGTAAACATGAGGCATATGTCATTATCTTCAAAGCTCAAACTGTCGTTTTTTTACTTGCGTTATTCTGGGTGAAGAGGGAATCTGTTGTAGGCTGCAGTTATTGGAGCATTTCATGTTACCAATTAACTGCAGGGAAAACAAATCCGTAAAACAACTTTTTCTTTGGCCTTGTTTTTTCTCCTTCTTTGAAGGTATATCCAGCAGTATGAATTTTGATGAAGAAGAAGACGATGACGATGAAATCAGTTCCAGCTCGTCACAGCTCAACAGCAACACGAGGCCGGGCTCTGCCACGAGCAAGAAGTCCTGCAAGGTAAAATGGAGTTCACAGCACACACTCGATCACTCTGCATGGGAGAGGATTTTTTTTTATCCTGCCTGAATGACACGTAGGAAAAAAAGATTACATTTTTATGTTATACTCTTTTTAGCACTCTATTTCATTGTCATGGCTAGATTGTCAAGTACAGATTTAGATCATTGGGGCTTAATGTGACACACACAAGATTCTGTTATTTGGTCAGTAAATAAATAGCCATAAATAGCAAATAATTCCAATATTGTTTGTAGATGACAACAAAAATCTGATAAAATGGAAGGCAGGTGTTGGGGGAATATTCTCATGTTACTGTGTGTTGGTAATTTGGTTGAAAGATCCACACCTGAGGTGGGAAGCCATTTATAACGGCTCAGGTGGGACATATTAAGCATTAGTTTGCAATGTATGTCAAGTATTTTAAAATATTTGTTGTTAGCCATTATTTCACATACATCTGATCACTTCAAGTCCCCAACGATCCCTTTAAAACACATTGTCTTTCCAGCCTCTTCCCTTTGTTCAGAGTGAAACCCCAGGTGGAATTGTACACATGATAACCATCATCTGGTCTTTGCTCCCCTTTCCACTCTAATCTCTCTCGGTTTAGTCAACTCAGTGCTCCGTCTACACCAGGTTCCTAATTTTAGACGCTGCGTTCTGATTCTCAGTCCCAGTGGACAATTTGATCTTCAGATTCATTACTCATTACTTGTTCTAATGAAAGTCGGCTCACATCCCACCGTCGGGGACGCCCTGCATGGTCTGTTTTCACCTGCAGGAGGTGGCCTCAGCACCCACCCCGCCAGTCAATGAACCCGCCATCGACGTGGATGACCTTGAAGAGTTTTCCCTGCGTCCTGCACCTCAGGGGGTCCGAGTGAAGTGCAGAATCACCAGAGACAAGAAGGGCATGGACAGAGGCATGTATCCCACCTACTACCTTCACCTGGAGAGAGAGGACGGCAAGAAGGTGAGAAGTGTCAGGCGGCAGAGACTGTAAACTTTAACAACGAAAACTCTACAAATTCAAATGTTTGGTCACAATGACTGGCACCGTTTCTAAAAGGTCAGATGGTATTTCACGTCGCTTAGCTGTTATTATTCAGATATTCGAAAGAAATTCTGTCTACACTTTCTATAACACTCACATCTATGAGGCATCAAATATGCAAATGTTTATTAATAATCTTATAATCACTTGCTATTCAAGTGTCCTAATACTTAATACAAAAATATTACAAAATAATGTTGTGTGTGCATTATAGATATATATTGTTATTCTGGCTTGGCTTGTCACAGGTGTTCCTGTTAGCTGGAAGGAAAAGGAAAAAGAGTAAAACATCCAATTATCTCATCTCCATCGATCCGACTGATCTGTCTCGAGGCGGCGAGAGCTTTATCGGTAAACTGAGGTAAGTCCACAGACGCTTTGCCACATGAAAGATTTATATTTCTTGAGCAAGTGTTGTATATGATTCCTTAATCACTGCTTTATGAATTCTCTCTAAATTATAATTAAGTTATAATTATATAGTATTGTTCCTGTGTTGTGAATTATTTAAGTACACTTAGTGTTTACCCGTATCTCCATCCATACATTCTTAAGAACATGTAACATTTAAAGGTAATGTTCACAAAAACTCAACTTTTGCTACTACGGGATAAATGATGAACTCCTTGTCTGCTAATTTATGAAAAGTTAATAAGTAGTTGTTAAGATGCATCTTTATATTAATAATTCACATAAGAAATAGTGTCCTCTACTGTTATAGCATCAATGATTTAGACTTATTTGTTATGTTGTTGTGTAAACGCTGTTGCTGATTAAGGAAAATCATGTTATTTTATGCCTTCCCTCTAAATGTACATTAGCTGTAAATAATTGCATTGTTCAAGGCCGCAGTAAGAGGTTGAAAGTGAGTTGAGACATAATCTTTAGAGAGGGCTCCGGGGCCGCGTTATTGGCTCCATGGAAACTCCTCGGGGTTTAATCAAATAGGCCTGTGTGCAGCCTTTAATCTTCAGAGCTGGACTGACCATTCGTCGATGCGCTGCTCAAACCAATCAAATTCCAGCTTGAATGATGCCGATCTAAATCAAAATAAACGGTGACCTTTCATCTGGGGCTCCTCGAGAGTGCTTAGGCGAGGGCCTAAATGAGGAGCGAGCCACAGGGCCATAAGATTGTGGCTAACCCACCTTACCTACAATGGACAGAACCAACACCTCCGGTCCTCGTCGGGTATTTCTAAGACTTATGTTTTTGAAGATGAGAGGATGAAACCTACACTGGTGAAGTTCAGATAGTAGCTGCCATCATGTTTTTACCGAGGAAGACAAATGGAGCAAAATAAGAGGAAGTATCATCTTATTAGAAAGAAATACTTAATATTCCACCGTGTTGATATTAGATATTCTCAACAGATCACAAATCCATGGTTTTGAAGGGAATGTTAATTTCATAATATCTCCCATTTTTGCAACTGATTGTGCAAGTGTGATACCATGATACCATCCATGCATAAAGCATTTGGATAACACCTTATTTCATAGAATTAGGAAGCACCATTTCATTTATATGCTATGGATGCAACATTTATGGTACATAAAATAGCAGAGCTGTGCTACAGTGTCTTTCCCACGCGAGGCAGTTAGACAGGATCAGAAGAACATTTAGACACACAAATGCTGTTTCACAACACAGGTCATGACGAAGCTCCCTTTAACTGACTCGCTACCTTGGAGGAAGCTCCAAACAAAGCGCTGGCGCTCGCCCCCGGCCTCCCTCTGTGTCCGTGGAAGCCGGCCATCGATCCCTGCTGAGCCCCAATCACACAAGAAACATTTCCAGCAGCTCTCTTACTGTTTCACAGTCAGGGTCACTTGAGTTGGGACTTTTTCCAATGGCTGCTGTTGTTGCTATACATAATTTGGCGTTAACGTGAAAAGTTGGCTGGCTTTCACTATCGATACATTCGCCGTCATGATGTGCAACTGCATCTCCGGACCTCCTCAGTTATATTTTCTTTGCAGGTCCAACATCATGGGAACGAAGTTCACTGTATACGACAGCGGTCTGAACCCCATGAAGAGCACAACCAGCCTTGAAGCTAGCGGCCTGCGTCAAGAACTAGCAGCCATTTGCTATGTGAGTTGGTCAAAATGCCCCTTAACACAAAAGCAAATGTGATGAATATAGCAGCCAACCTCAATTCTGTTGAGAAAGTGGGTCCAGACCTTTGACTGTATAGTGGAGTAATGTCAACCTGAGCAGCGGATCAAGTATCACTCCGAGTGTGTGTGTGTTAATGTCCGAGCTTCTCCATTCTTTGTTGACATAGCCGTGCTGGCCGTGCGTGCTTTTAGTGCACCTGCTAGCTCACTGCTTTCTTACTGCCGTTAGAGCTGATAACGCTGTTGATTCCCCTCAGGTAAACATTGCGAGCTCTGTCGGCTCTGTTGCTGCTGTCTTGCGCAGCTCTGTGCTCTGTTAGCTCTGTTAGCGCTGTTAGCTTTAATATCATTCACCCTAATGAACCGATAGAGGGTCTGCTGTTTATGTAACTTTACCTGCATTGAAAATTTGACAAAGGTGCATTTGAAATGCACAGCTGCAATTGGTCTGGCTCGGATAATACTATCGAAGCCTTCATACAACGGGCTGAGGGGTCATAATCGAGTTGAAATCAAGTTATGGACCGTGGATAAAGGGCCTGAACCTTCCTTTCTTTGCAGACGGAGATAACTAATTAGTCCACAATAACAAAACATTTTCCTAAGAACTACGCCCAGTGGATGAGCACAGTACAGTTTTTCATCTTTTCAATCTAGGAAACAAATGTTTTAGGATTCAAAGGACCACGCAAAATGAGTGTCATCATTCCTGGAATGAACATGGACCATGAGAGAGTGTCTATTCGCCCACGGAATGTATGTATCACCCTAATTTCAACATGGTTTCATCTGTGCCGACCAATTCAAACTATCTCTATAATTGATCTGAGGTTCATGTCATCAAGCTGTACCATTTTATTCTTTACTACAGGACCACGAATCACTTCTGGCCAAGTGGCAAAACAAGAACACAGAGAGCGTGATCGAGCTTCACAACAAGACTCCTGTGTGGAACGATGACACACAATCCTACGTGCTCAACTTCCACGGACGAGTCACTCAGGCCTCCGTCAAGAATTTCCAAATCATTCACGACAACGACCGTGAGTTGATTAATATTAACTTATCTCGACAGAGTACATTTGGTGTGATGATGTTTTTATGATTTAGAAACACACTCTCTTTATACGATTTAATTTTTATTTATTTTCCTCTTTTTTTTGTCAAAGAATGTAACAATACTTAAAAGTGAGAAAAGGTGTTGGAGTAACAAATGTGTTTTGCTTGTTCTCCTCTGCAGCTGACTACATCGTGATGCAGTTTGGCCGTGTGGCAGAGGATGTCTTCACCATGGACTATAACTACCCGATGTGTGCCCTGCAGGCCTTTGCCATTGCGCTCTCCAGCTTTGACAGCAAGTTGGCCTGTGAATAGACCCCAGCCTGGTGGAGGACTGGTCCATGCGTCCTCTCACAAAGTATCCTTGTGGATGGTATCGGACTTCTCCAAAAACCTTGAAGTCGTGCTACTTTGTGGGACTCGAGTTTCGTGTGTGTGTGCGGGGGAGGGGAGGTAAGGGAGGGAGGAGAGGTTACCTTGGCCAGTAGAGGAAAAGAAGCACAGAGAAATTCACTTTAAAATTTCGATGAATTTGTTTTGATAACTATAGTAATTTTGTACTGTAATGGCATCATGCAAACAAGCAATGCTCCTTTATGTAGTAGTTAGAAATGTAACATTTCTTTATCTGTAAATTATAACTAACCATTACATATCTGTACCTTTTTTATGTGATCGCCACACACAAGCATGAATACTTCTTATATAGTCACTGAATTTAAAATAACATGCACGTCGTTATGTATTTATTTATTTATTTATTACATGTTGTTTTCTTTTTTCTCTGTTATCATTTGCAACAATCTGAGCAGTATTGGCTCCATGGAGCCACAAGCACATACGTTTGTAGGACTATCTATTCTTTCCACGCAACGATTGGACGTGAACGTGGCAAAGGTGTATGTAACGGTGTGCTGTGTACCATTTACAATATTGTGTCACAGTGTCGTTTATGTGAATGTATAGGACGATGGTTCACTCCACGTTGAAGTCTTTAGTGGATGAGATATGGCTGTACATACTTTATTGTGCCTTTTGAAGACTAATTCCAGTGTTGCGCTTCGGCCGCACAATGAGCTGAGCTTGAATTTGTCTTTGCTATTCTGGCTGCCTCACATGCATCAGAGGTCATTTATTGAATTCAGTTGTCTAATGTAGATATCATTTAAAGTGATCAGATAGCTGGAGCTGCGAAACTTCTAGAAAACAAAAGTAAACATCACTGGACAACATTTTATTTTATTTATTGTCCAGACATATTTGAATTCAATTTAGGACCAAGAACACATTACACTAAAGAGGCAAATAAGGATTTACTTTGACTGTAAATCCGGTAGCAGAAATACTATTCAAGACATTTGGGCCTGAGTTCTGCTCATGATGTTCTTAGTTCAGTTCTTAGTTCTTATGATGTAATCTGAAAAAAAAAAATTGAACACAAATTTACTTACTGAAATCAAACACAGTAAACTGCTAACACCGCTTCGACATTTCATTTTTTGCTGTTTTGTTATATATTTTATGCTCTGCTGAGCTGGTACATTCCAAATTTAACTGGTATTTGCTGTTCACATTTACACTCAAAATATTCTTCTTCTTGCTCCTTTTCGGGGCAGTAGTCTTTCTCAAATATATGATATTTTGTATTTTACGGCCATTAAAAAGCTTAATGAAGGCAAAGAACAATCTCTGATACCGCTATTGTCACTGGGTTATGAGGAAATCTTTATCAGATGTGCTATTCTTGTACTCAACTGTGTTTCAACTATTTTAAACTTCTATTTTCAAATTGTTGATTATTTTTCTGTGAAGTATGCTTTTCAAACATCCAGGAACCAAAGGTTCTTTCACTCTCTTTTTCAAGTGTTCTCGTTGTAATGTACAATAAATGGTGTACAGTTTACTGTGGTGGCATAAACACAGTAGTCCTTTGATCATGGAAAAAAATAAAACTTCAGTGAGTCAAACCATGTTCCTAATTTGATGCAGTTTTAGACCTTTGCTCGTCATTCAGACAGTGAACAGGCCATCTCTTTCCACCAATAATAAAGTCATGTCTTGGGAAATGGATGATACTCACCTCGTTGGTCTACGATATACTTTTGGTTCCTAACTACGCCAACGCATGTATCCTTTTTAATATTGCTCAAAAGATGATTCCCAATCCACTTGAACGTTTACATGTGGTGGAGTTCTACATAATATAATGAAAAGAAAATTATAAAATGCACATGTTTCATTCAAAGTTGAAAAGCAGCAGTGTCTATACGTCTGGCATTGTTACAGTAACGTAAACAACTTTAGGATCAATTATTTTAGTGACACACTTCCAACATTACAGGTATGTTCAATTAAATTTTGACCGCTTCCGCTTTGCATTTTTTGTATGATCACTTCGTGCTGCTTGATCTTACCGTTACTTTTCTTCATCAATATCTCTATGAGTCTGAGATTGAGTTTCAGTCTCACTCCCTCTGTACGTCTCTCCGTGCTTATCTGCAACTTCATGGGCGAAACGTAAGAAATCAAAAATGTCTCTGAAAAATAGATGTCATGGTTTTGTAACACAATAAAACAGGGCATAAACAATTGGATATATTATTCAAAAGTCCTTTTAGAATGGCAATGTTCCTTACAAATGTCAGAAAAAAATAATTACAGTGGCCCTTTCATACAGCTGACATTTTGACTAGTCACACTAGAAGAAGCGTAGGTGTAACTATTAAAGCAATTTGAGTTTTGATTGTAAGCTAGCAAGCGAGTACAATGCCGGCGCTCTGGCACGGGACACCTTAATGGATTGCACCTTTTGTTATTAGAAATCACACCTGTGTAGGACAATTCAAATACTGGTATACTGGTTTAAGACACATATTCGCTGTGAGCACGGCGAGGCTGTTGAAAACAATGTCCGTCATTCAGCATCATCTTGTAATCTCACACAAGGACTGTTCTCTTATAATGTCGTTGCTTTGTCTGATGCTGCAGGGGAAATGTTTCATTTTTTCCAGTAATAAGGAAACACTATCGCCTTACATGATGGACTGCAGTTAATCTCTGTTCTTGTGCTGGTTCAAGCAAGATGGATGAATTTCTTAGTATTTAATAAAGTTTACCAGCACCTAATGACTTTATGTTGGCAGTAGAAAAGTTATGCTGTATTGACTGTAATTTGAAATTTGACTACAATACACTATTGGCACTATTTATATCTTACAATCTACCTGCCCATTCTGTTTGTGTGCACGCTGGTTCTCGTTACTATGGCGATTTCCATTGGGGTGATTGGGATGCTCCCCCGGATGTTATTTATAAAGGTCCCTTTTTATTCTAAGGTGTTATGCTGCATTACTGCACCACAGAGACCTCTCAACACCTGTGAGAACCCTATTGGACCACCAGGTGAAGCCAGATAATGCACGACAGATTAGTCAAAGTTTCTACTACTTCACCACTTTTTATTTAGCAAAGCCTTCTTTCTCAGTTGCTGATGTGAGCACCCGTGACTTCTGTAGAACGCATGAGCAATTGTCTGACTAAAAGAGTAACTCAGCCAATGAGAGTGATGGTTGTTGTTGTTACTATTTGTAGGAAACTACGCGTTCACACATTGCACCTGTCTATTTAGCTCTCGGTCTATGTTTTACACACATTAGGGATCAGGGATAATAAACATACAATTCGGGGAACATCAAGTATTTTCAAAAGGTTCTTTATGTCTCCCTCCTGTTCCGCATCCTCAGCCCACTCGACCCTACTTCTCTGGGCATTTCTGCGTGACCGTCGTCCACAGGCACCGACAGAAACAAATAGTCCTCGTTGTCCTCCTCCGCTTCCTCCTCCGGGTTGGGACAACCCTCGCAGCTGAACTGCAGGCTCTCCGCCTCCATCACTGGATCTTCTTCATCCGCTTCCTCCTCCTCCTCATCCACCTCTGTACCCTCATCATCATCCCCCTCCTCATCCCCGTCCACCTCTTCATAAGTACCGTCTTTTGGGTAGCAGAACACAGCGTTGTGGTCACTAAAACTAATTTGCTTCTTCCCTCCATTGAGACATTGTAACTCCTCGCTTACCTCCAGACCTAATCTCTCGTTCTTTCTTTCTGCAGAAGGCTGCGATAAAGGAACACAGAGCAACTGCATTTTCTCTGCTTCTTCTTCCTCCTCCTCCTCCTCCTCCATCTCTGCTACGTCCTCTGCTTCTTCCTCCTCCTCCTCCTCCTCTTCCTCCTCCTCCTCCTCCTCCATCTCTTCATCCTCTACGTCTTCCTCCTTATCCTCATCTTCCTCCACCTCTTCATCTACTTCTTCCACAATAGATAGTTTCCTTGCCATATTATCCTCCTCCTCTTGCTCCATCCTCTCGGCCATGGCCTCGGCGGTGAGCTGGCGGGGGGGTTCCTCTAGTGTAAAGATGTTGAATCCTCGTCTTTTATAGGGCTCTTCATACTCTGGGTAGGTCTCCTCTGGGTAGCCTGCATTGGTGTGACAAACAATGCATCAGTCTAATGACTACAGACAAAAAATCTGCCACCGTACAGCACCAGTCTAAGGTTTCGACACACTTGTCGCGTCCAAAAAGGAGTGTAGATTTATTTAAAAGATGCGAGGAGCCCTGAGATTCAGATCGAGGCTCGTACCTTCCCAGTCGACACAGTAGGGGACCTCCTCAGCCTCCATCTCTGGGGAGTCTGTCTCCAGCCGGCTTTCTTGGATCAGCAGCGTTATCTGTCTGAGTTGTTTGAGTAATTTCTCCTCCTTCTTTGAAGTACAAGTTTTACTCTTCCTCCTTCTGCCACTAGAGAACAGCACAGATAATTAAGTAGTCATGCAAGATGGGAAAGCTATGGTACATCAATCACTGATTCAGCAAATAGCTCTTTGTAAGTGATACTCCTCTAACATTCAATTGCTGCATATAACTGGAATGCATCGTTTCTCTTTGGGCTCAATTTTCTGATTCCTACTGAGTGAATGAGGATTTCAATGTCGTCTGAAAAATAATTGTCTAGCACATGCAAAAGTTCCAACAAGTAGCAACTTGATAATCTGAAATTGATTTAATTCCTAATCTATGCTATTATCTGATTTTCAAATAGAGTAGTAGATGTAGCTGTTGAGTAAAATATGCAAGTGGCCTTTCCACATTTGAATAATTCCCTGTTTAATCTTCAGCCCTTCCACGCTGGGTCTGCACTGATTTATCCCAATGTGAGAGATTTTCGTTCTGGTTGCTATGGGCGATGAAATGTTGGATGTTGAGAGGAAAAATAAGGCTCACCTCCCAGAACCTCGACTCTTTCCAGAGACAATTCTCTCCATCTTCCTTTCGGTTTGCAGAAGCCTCTCTTGTAGCCTGACCAGCTGATAATCAGGTACTGCAAGATTTACAATAGAAAACATTGTTTCACTGTCATTTTGTGTAAATTATACAGTATATGTGTATCACATTCAAAGACACACAATAACATGTATTCTTTAGGCAAAAAGATAATTGCAACATTTTTATGTTATTAAATAACAAATATTTGACTGAATAGCTGTATGCCACAGATTAAGAAGCACAAATGTAAACAGTTTAAATGATATAGGAAGTCAGACACAAATCATTTTTGGGACAGCACGATGGTTTCAATAAATCAGAGGGATACAGTACTTACTAATCGTATTCTCTATGTTTGATTTGATACCTGTCGTGTGGTTTTCTGATTCAGTAGTCTTCACCTTACATGTCAGCTGTGAAAACATTTAGGATAATAGATGTTAACTATGGTAATTATGGTAAAAAATAAAAATAAAATAAAAAATAGGTAAAATGTGGTGTAAATGATAAACACTTCATACTCATGCATTTTGGGGGAAATAGTGTTTTGTATTCATAAAGCCTGTTTACCACGCAGACCAGTTACAATAGCTACCTTATAGATTATGTAGAAGATGTAAAGAAGTATCCCAAAGCCATATATGGGTATGACTTGAGCCATCAGGTTGTATTTTTTGCCTCGCCCGATGACATTCATTTTGGCCACGGCCTCTGCGCTGTGTGTCGTGGAGTACGAGGGGTCCACACCCCACCGTTTCGGGTCCTCTGGTGATGACAGCCGGTGGATCACAGGAGGGTAGAACCCAGGTCCAACTGGAGGAGACAAAAGTCAATCTATCAATAATTAGAGGGACGTTTTCAAGACAATGTTTTAGATCCATCTTGTATTAAACTATGTGAGCATTCAGTTTAAGAGATTAGCCAATAAATATTTTAAGAATTCATGCTGCTGCACTGCAAGTTCCCCAACTTTAAATTTGTGTTTTATCTAGTCCATTAAATATGTAGTCTATTGCTTTTAGGTCAAAAAGCAACAATGTTATTTTTACCAATACAATCAGAGTAGTTGATCAGACAACATTAAGTAAAATATTCATACAAATAAATACTAGCTTATATGAGCGCTGTTGCTTGTGATCTGAAGTCTGTTCGCATAAATTAAAACTCATCTCAAATAAAGCACAATATACTCAAAAAAAGATTGACTGGGAAAACTCAAACAACGCGTCATCCGGTGACGTCATCAAACGTCGAGGAGTCCGCATGTTACCAACTCGGCCACCGATGCAGCTCTGACTAAAACGCACATTAAAGTCATAGTTTCCTAAACATTGATGAGATTTGGCTGACGGGAAAGAGGCGCCCGTTCCTGTTTGCATGCAAAGGTAACAAACCGCGACCAATATAATGTTTAATTGGGTTTAACTGCTGTATTTTGGGTGGTGGAACTGAAGTTATTTCTGGCCTTTGTAAAAAAACGAACATTTGAACCCGTAATTTCTTAAGGAAAAAAAAAACTCAAAAGCTACAGCATTAATGAATTGTGAAGCACTGTCGCCTCACAGCAAGAAGGTCCTGGGTTCGATTCTGCCCAGTGGCCTTTCTGTGTAGAGTCTGCATGTTTTCCCCATGTCTGCGTGGGTTCTCTCCGGGTTCTCCGGCTTCCTCCTACAGTCCAAAGACATGCTCTGGGGATCAGGTTAATTGGTGACTTTAAATTGCCCGTAGATGTGTGAATGTGAGTGTCAGTGTGAATGGTTGTGTGTCTCTGTGTAGCCCTGCGATTGGCTGGCGACCAATCCAGGATGTACCCTGTCTATCGCCCGAAGTTGGCTGGGATGGACTCCAGCCCCCCCCCCGCGACCCTGTGTGCAGGATAAGCGGTTTGACAATGGATGGATGGATGGATGGACATTTACAGATATGTGGTTGGAGCCTGTGACTTAGTGATTTAGAGTATCCCTAAATATTAAGTATCCTTCTCCATCTTCCATCCACTTAATAAACAGATAAATCCGCTTAATCTGTCTCAGTACTTCCATTGAAGACATGAGCGTTATAATGATCAAGACATAATATACCACTCTACAATCATGTCTCTGATTGTGCTTTTTAAAATTGAATGTAGACATGAATTAAAAGAAATGAATAGATAGGCCTAAACATTTTTGAAAATCTGTAAATATTAATACCGTACTTTAAAAAAATTCCACAACATATTCTGTAAACACATGTTCCAATCCATTTTTTCCTTTTTTCTAATAAATTACAACATTTTGAAGAACGTACGCACACGGGCCCTCCAATGTCAAAGTAACATCTGGCAGCAGCAGCAATAACAAAAAAACAGATGGATGAATGATGATGTGATAAACCGCCTTACCCTCCGGCCGACCCGTCTCCTTTGTCCTTCTGGGTAAAAGCATTCTGGGCAGGAAGAGAGAAACACAGAGAACAGAGCAGGATATAAGGGTAACCTTCTGGCAGGTTGTTATAGACATTTTGTCTCACAAAATGACAGACGTGCGTTTATTTCACTTGAACAGTAAAGCTAGTATCCACAGATGTCATCTCTCATCTGGTGACGTCGCTTCCCAGATTAGAACGGATTAGGCCGGCTGCGTTCGAGTGCCGTTTGAAATATTGAAAACAAATCCCCACAAGAGAGAATCAACCGGCCTAGCGCATGCCTCATTATTTGTATGTATTTCATGCCTGTATTATCATACAGGCATGAAAATCCCTCACCTTTCGGCGAAATCGGCGACCGGCAGCAAAGGTTACACAGGCTAGGAAGCACTGTGTAGCCTGTGAATTAATATGGAGAGAGGACACACGTTAGCGTCATGCTCAAGCCAGAGCTAGTTTCAGGCATGAAAATCCCTCACCTTTCGGCGAAATTTGCCGTCTTGAAACCAAAATAGGTGACCTACGTGAATCGTGTTGATTCGATGAGTTTTTTCTGGGGGGGTATTCATATTCAGTGAACTGCGAACAGGTGCGCGTGCCAGAAGGGAGCAGGAGATTCAGTGAACTGCGAACAGGGTGAGTGATGGTTTCAATAATTTAAAGATTTTCTGGTATATCTAAGTTAAGTTACCCAGGAGCTTTGTTGCATAGACTTAGCTAACGTTAGCTACAGCTTGATGAGTTGAGTCATTTAACACAGCAGGAGAGAACGCGACGTTGGCCAGCTAGCTAAAGCTCCGGTGGAAAATGATTTGCTAATGCTACCGTTTTTGAGGAGGTAGATTTTGAGGTGAGGGGACTGACAAGGCAGAAGGTAAAGTGGTCCACCGTTCTATCAATATTGACGCATTTTGACTTCAAAGTACGCTGGTACGATTTGTCACTCTAAACTACGCAAAAATTTGTCTAAAATTAATTTTAGACTAGTTGACCAGCACACATTATATGCAATGCAATATAATGCATGACGAGTATTTAATGACTTGTCCCCTATTAGTTGTTGTCAATTCCCATCCCCCCCTCGTCGGTATGCAAAAAATGATCCCGTCCGAATGCTGTCATGTTCTAGATGAGGATGCAGACTTTATCTACAGCAGCGATTCCCAAAGTGTGGGCCGCGAGAGGTCAAACAGGCCAAAGCTCGGTCTACGACGGCGAGATGCTGAGCGGCGCTCAAGCGCGTGAGATATGGAGCTTGTTTCAGGGCGCGTCGGAGAAACAAAGCTGTCGTTCTCGCCGAGCACTTAATGAGATTAAAGACTTTAATAACTGTAGTCCATTAAATTTAAAAGGGAATTATTGTTATAAATCAACATGTTTTTTCAATTATTGATTAAACTGTCATTTTTTCAAATGTCCATGTGGGCTACAGGCAACACATATTGATAAATTCCAATGCCAGTTCCCAAAAGGAGCACATTTTCACAGATGAGAGGCGAAAAAGGAATGAGTTGCTAATCAAACTCGTTACAGATTAATTCCCTGGTGATTGAGTAACCACCAGAATATCACAGCTGTATTCATTACACATGTAAGCAGGATGACATCACTTTAAACACAATTACCGGTACCATTTTACCTGCAGTGCTGGTGAATGCCCCCCCCTCCACCGCCTCTGACCAGGACCACCCCCCTCCAACCCGCACCATCTTCACCATCCACCACCACAATTTATAATAAGACTCAGACTCAGGAGCTAGGACTGGATCCCAAAGGGGGTTGCGATAAGGGAGTAGGGACTTCACAGCCTAGCGTACCGAACACCGATGTATTGACTGACCGTCCACAATCCGCATCAGAGGACGACTGCGAGAAGCATCCTAGGGAGACGCCACACGACAGTGGGAGATACCCTACCAGAGAGCGTAAAGCCCCGGGGTATCTAAGAGATTATTCTCTGGAAGATGCTGATGACGACAGTACGCTAACTAGTGTAGATTATTGCTACCGAGCAGTTTGTGGTGTGCCTCTGACCTTTAAAGAGGCCATGACATCAACTGAGTCAGGAAAGTGGAAGAAAGCAATGGACGAGGAGATGGGGTCCCTAGAGGACAACCAAACCTTTACCCTGACTAAGCTACCAGAGGGCAGGAAGACAGTGGGAGGAAAATGGGTATATTCGATTAAGGGAGACATTGACGGAAACGACCAGTACAAAGCTAGGTTTGTAGCGAAAGGATACAGCCAGAGAGCAGGGATAGATTATGGCGAGACATTCTCACCAACAGCAAATCTGACAAGTATTCGTGTAGTGATGCAGAAGGCAGCCCAAGACGATTTGATTCTGCATCAAATGGATGTGAAAACCGCTTACTTACATGCCCCCATTGATCGAGACATCTACATGAACAACCTGAAGGTTACAAAAAGGAGGGAGACGAGCTGGTGTGTAAACTAGAGAAGTCAATCTACGGCCTGAAGCAGTCGGGGCGAAATTGGAATGAGATGCTCCACACCTGCCTAGTAGATGACAACTTTATTCAGAACCCGACAGACCACTGTGTTTACACAAAAGAGTCTACAGAGACAGGAAAGGTAATAGTGGTCATTTGGGTGGATGATCTGATCATCGCAGCCAGCAACACCCAGAGTTTGGAGAGGGTGAAAAACATGCTTTCTAACAGATTTAAGATGAAGAACCTAGGTAGGTTGAAGTATTTTCTGAGCATGGACTTCAGCCAGTCTGACGGCTGGGTAAAAGTGTCACAAAGGAGGTTTGTTGAAAAACTACTGGAACGTTTCGACATGCAGGAGTGTAGGGTTAGAGAAACCCCATGTGAACCAAAGCTAGAATACTCTGAAGGTGCGTCTAAAATCTCTGATGTAAGGAAGTACAGGGAGGCTGTCGGCAGCCTCATTTACCTGACAACCTGTACACGCCCAGACATATGTTTCGTAGTGAACAAGTTATCACAACATTTTGCTGACCCTACAGATGAACATTGGGTCACGGTGAAACATGTTTTGCGGTACCTCAGAGGTACTGCAGACAAACAGCTCTGTTTCACAAAAAGCCAAGGAAGCCTAGGCATACGAGCATATAGCGACGCAGACTGGGCTGCGGATGTTAGTGACAGACGCAGTACCACCGGGTATTGTGTGAGTATGAGTAAAGGTAGTTCCTTAGTATCTTGGAAAACCAAGAAGCAACTCACAGTAGCACTATCCACATGCGAAGCCGAGTACATGGCTCTAGCTCTGACAATACAGGAGTGTATTCACTTGGAGCAACTACTGGGAGGGATGGATTCCTATGTGTATGAGAAAACGGTTGTCTACGAGGATAACCAGGGGACAATTGCGCTTGTTAGGAACAACAACGGTTTAAGCATGTGGACATAAAATATCATTTCATCAGGTCTACCATAAAGGAAGACGAGATGTCCCTTGTTTACTGTCCCACCGACAACATGGTCGCAGACGTTATGACAAAGCCTGCCTCCAAACTTAAGTTAAAGAAATTTGGGGAAATCATGTTTGGTGTATAAAATGTTGACATTTGACTATGCCATGTTTTTGTTCTGTTTTTGTTTATTTGGTCATGTAAGTGTTGCACAGTATACATGTCATTCATAAGTGGGAGTGTTAAGAGTGTATGAATGCATGTACCTGTAACTGTTTCCTGAGTCGTGATATCAAGAGCACCATTCCCATATAAGGGCAGTGTTCCCTCCCCTTTCTCAGTGTGTACCCGTCTCTCCCGTGAGCGGGCAGTTGAGCATGTTGTGCTTGCATTAAAGAATGCCACGAGTCGGATGGCTAAAGAGATAAACGCCTGGACGTCCGTTCATTCTCTGAATATCATTGTTCCGCCGCGCAGGTAGGAGTAAGCCTACCTATTAACAGAGAAGGCGCGCGAGGTGGTGGCGAGCGGCGTGGTGGCCCGCGGGGCGCAAGTGCCCGTTCTGTCGCTCGCCGTGCCGGCTGTCAGGGTGACGGACGGCGGTAAGTTACCCAGGAGCTTTGTTGCATAGACTTAGCTAACGTTAGCTACAGCTTGATGAGTTGAGTCATTTAACACAGCAGGAGAGAACGCGACGTTGGCCAGCTAGCTAAAGCTCTGGTGAAAAATGATTAGCTAACGCTACCGTTTTTGAGGAGGTAGATTTTGAGGTGAGGGGACTGACGAGGCAGAAGGTAAAGTGGTCCACCGTTCTATCAATAAGCAGACCTGCCAACCTGATACGCATTTTGACTTCAAAGTACGCTGGTAGGATTTGTCACTCTAAACTACGCAAAAATTTGTCTAAAATTAATTTTAGACTAGTTGACCAGCACACATTATATGCAATGCAATATAATGCATGATGAGTATTTAATGACGTGTCCCCTATTAGTTGTTGTCAATTCCCATCCCCCCCTCGTCGGTATGCAAAAAATGATCCCTGGGACAACGCCTGCCGTAGAGTAGTAATATCCTTCTCACCTTTTTCACCCGTGACCCGTTTTCATGCCCGAATGAAGTATTGAATTCTTAATTTTAATAATAATAATAATTATTATTAATAAAATCCCAAACTCAAATAAAAATCCCTGGCTTCTGCTGTCCGCATGTCGATGTGTCCAGCAGTGAGAAAGTTCATTGCAGCAACACTCTGCAGCTAAAAATAATGAGGAAGACGCACTTGGTTTGAGGTGGTTTAATTACCTTTGTTTGTTAGGCTGCTAAGGAATTTGCTTGTGAAGCAAGGATGGATTCCAGTGTGTGATTTAACATCTCTCAGTAATCCAGTCTTCACATGGATCCCTTTGCTGTTTGATTTAAAAAACAGACAATAACCATTAATACGAATAATATTTCATTAATGAAAAGTAAAGTAAAATTGAAAAAATGGATTGTTTCCAACTATTCCTAAACAATGGCCTTTATAAACTGGGTATTTTCAATGATGTAACAGCAACAGATGACCTTTCAACCCGTCCTTTGTCAAGCCCCTTGTGTGATTCACAGCAGAGAGCAGCAGATGGCAGTGCAGGCCTGAATACAGAGGAATGGCATCTGGACAACAGATCACTCACTCAGAGACCTACTTGTCAGGCCAAGCCTAATTTATGGTGTTTCATAGATCCTGCTTAGAATATAAATAGTAATGTAATATATAT